GTAGCAGAGCCAGAACTCACACCCAGGCCGACCTGACTCACCACTCACCACTCCGCCACCCAGTTCCCTTCCAAGCATCACGCTGACTCCCAGTGCACCCTACTATTGCTCTCTCTCCCTGGCCTCCTCACTGAAAGCTCCTGGGGCTCAGACACCCTTTTACTCACCTTTGGACCTTGACCCTACCTGCAGGGCATGGTGGAGTTCCAAAGCTTGTGTGGAAGTGACTAGACCTGGGGGTGGAGCTGGAGGGTCTAGGTGGGCAGGGCCTGGCTCTGTAGCCTCCAGGATCAGGCCCCCCAGACTCAGCCTCTTGTTCCATCAAAGCTGCCCAATGACAGAGACCCCTGCAAAGAGTTCTGCAGGTTACAACCTGCACATCTGTACATGGCCACCCTGCCAAGGGCCCCTATGGCCCTCAAGATTCCCAAGCCCAGGAGGTTCCTGATCTCCACTCTGAGGAGGGAGAAGGAACTTCGAGGTAGCCTGGGGACTAGTGAGACGTGGTATAGAAAGCAGATTGGGGGTGGCCTGGGGCTGAGGGAGGGAGAAAGGAGGAGTGATAACTTGAGGGGCTGACGAAAATATTCTGAAACTAGATAGTGGTGGATAGTTGCACAACATTGTGAATGTACTAAAAATCACTGAGTTGTACACTTAAAAATGGTTAGGATGGTAACTTTTATGTTATGTATATTTACCACAATTTAAAAAATGGCCCACCTTCTCCAGCTTCAGCGTCGTCCCAGGGCCCTTATGTGTTCCAGGGCCCAGATCAAGGGCCACTTGTGTCCCCATAAGTCTCTGGACCTTGGACCTCCTATTCCCAATCCCCTTCTCACCTCACCTGTTCTTGGTGTCTTACTGAGCTATTCAACGTAGGACATTTCTCCGTAGGATGCATTCTGAGGACATCTAAATTTGTGCCCAGTGTTTTTCACTCAAATAAATGCATTACTAATGGTTGAATTTCCTGTGGCAGTGGCCTGTGGGGGACATATTCAGAGCTGTGGGGTGGTTTCTGGAGTCTTCAAAAATTACCTCACGAAAAGGCAGCTTTGGTAGGAAGCAGCAGATAGAGACATGGGATCAATCCATCCTTCTGGTACCTCCTTAGTCCAGAGCCAGATGCCTGGATATCTTTGTAATTCAGGTTGGAAAATGGTATCTTCTGGGTAATTCAGCTTATAGTTCCAGGCAGAAGGCATGGGAGAACCAGAATCCTGGGTCTGAATTCCTTGGTAGCTGTGTGACCTTGGGCAAGTTACTCAATCTCTCTGTGCCAAAGTTTTCTTAAAAGGAAGATTAAAATAGTTTTGATCTTAAAAGTTCTTTAAAAAAAAAATTTAGGTGGGATGCCTGGCTGGCTCAGAGCATGTGACTCTTGATCTTGTGGTCCTGAGTTCAAGTTCCCCCTTGGGTGTAGAGATTACCTAAATAAATAAAATTTTTAAAAAAGATTAAAAAATTAGGTGATAGTCATCTAACATAACCATTTACCATTTTAACTTAACATCAACCACTTGTACGTGTACAATTCAACGGCATTTAGTGCAACCACCACCTCTATGGAGTTCCAACACATTTTCATCACTACCGGGGTTGTTTTTGAAGATTAAATGTTTGTAAATCCTTAGAAGGGTACCTGGAACAGCCCACACCAAATAAGTGGTCAATAGATGGTAGGAATAATTTGTAATAGAATAGTGTTCACAGCAGGTAACACGTGCTGGGTGGGGCTATTATTAATTCTTAATTCTCTTCCCTTGAGCTGGAGGAGGTGGGAATTGGGTTCTCACTCCACTTTGGGTCGCATTTTTCACTTTGAGCTCTCTGTACCCACCCGGCTGTCTGTCGCCAGCCGCCCCCTCCCCCTGGGTCGAAAGTCCCTTGCTCACCGACTGCAGGCACGGGAGGCTCTCATGGTAGCAAGGAAACCTGGGGTCTCCCCCGCAGTCTCTGGACCTCCCCTCTGCTCCTGTGGCTCTTCCTGGCCCGCTCCCTGCATCTCCCACGCCGCTCCTGCTCCCCCAAGCTGTCACCTTCTGTGGCAAAGGAGACACGTGTGTGGGTGGGTAGCCAAGAAGATTCTGCCGGAGCGGAAGGGAGTGAATTGGAGTGGAAACACGCCCACGACTGGAGGCGCTCCGGCGAGCGGACCTCCCCCGCTTATGAGCGCACCACCTCCCCCTCAGGCTTGGCATTTTAGTCCGAGCCCTTGAGCCCTCGGGATACCCGTGTACTTGGAAGGAGCCCCCACCCCCCGCCACGATCTGCCAGCCAGCACTAGCAGACCTACAGACTTAGAAGACTCCTTGGGGAACTTGTTAAACAGGTAGATTCCAAGACTCCTCTGAGCGATGCCCGGGAATCTGCTTTTTTAACGTGCACTCTGTTGTAAGGAGTCTTAGGAGCTGGAAAGTTTGGAACTGACTGCTTGGCCCTGTTCTTCCAGGTGTAAGCATCCGCTCTCTGAATATTTAAGCCAGCGTAACGCCTTCCGTGCTGTAACAACAACTACGTGTTAATGCTCACTACGCGCCTGTCAGTTACGCCCAGTGCAAGCATGCCAGTTTCCTTGCTGAGCCCGGGGTACATCGAAACATCCCTGGACTCCATCTCCTTCAACCCTTCGGTGTGCAGATCCTGGGGCCGTGGATTGTCGTTTGCTGCCACCTTGTGGCAGAGGTGGCTCCACGTCCATTCTTGGTAATCTTAATTGAGAAAATACACTGAACACTATTGTGTGCCCGGTACTCGGCAAAATCCTGTGCACCTGGGCGCAGGTGAATAAGACAGACACAGTCCCTGCGTCACGGAACTCACAGTCTCTCGGGATATTCAATAACGCACAAACAAATAAAGGCGAATGAATAAATGATTACAGAGTGTGGCTAGAAAGGAAACAAACAAGGGCCAGTTATCACAGGATGCAAAGACCTATGTATTTGCTAAACAGAGCATTGTCTGACTCCCTGCACACCTTTTCCCTGCCCCGAACTGTGGGCCACGCGAGGGCAGGCGCATCTGTTGATTCTCCCTTGTGAACGGGTGAAGTCACCCAGTGCTGACACATAGTAGGTGCTCAGGAATTGTCCGATGAATGAATACACGGGTGATAAGGCTGTCCAGAGCCAGCTTGTTGGCTCCTCCAGGCCGAACAGACGGGGAGCGGGAAGGGACGGCTTTGGAAGAGAGGCTGGTTCTCTAGGGATCTGGGGAGGGCTAGACGCTTTGGGTGTGAGCTAAAAGGATGATGGCCAGAGGTCACCCTCCCGGGGAGGCCCCAGTCCACCCTGTTTTAAATTACACTCTGTTCACTTCTTGGACCCCTTCTCTGCTTATTTTTTCCTCCTTGGTGTTTGTCACCATGTCGCATACTGTGTATTTGCCTTATTTAGCTAATGTCCAGCCCCCAGGAATGTAAACTCTGGGTGGGCAAGGATTTTTGTGTTTTGTTCACTTAGGGCTCTCCGGCGCCTGGAAGAACCTGACACTCAGCAGGTGCTTTGTAAACCTACACAGAGTGAACGAAGGATGCATGGGCGGGGCTTGGGGCCGAGCCAGAAGGGCTCTAGCTGTGGCCCATGGGAGGGGCGAGGCTCAGAGACTAGGCAACCAGGTCTGGATGGGGCTGAAGGTAAACCGTACGGAGAAGGGAGGGACTAGGTGGGGCAAAGGTCCGCGTGGGAGCAGAGCAAGGCGGGGGGTGGGACCTTGGGGCGGGGCCTTCCCAGGGCTGGGCCATTTCCGAGGCTGAGTGCCTTAGGGGCGGGACCAATATGGGGGCGCGGCCTACCTGAGGCGTGGCCAGTCTGGAGAAGGGCCGGGCTGGGGCGGTGTCAAACAGGGAATATATAAGGGAAGGGCGGGCTAATACCGGGGCGTGGCTAGAGAGGGACCAATCAGGGACATGGTAAATCTGGGCGGGGCCGTAGCAGAGAGGCGGGGGCGGGGCCACACCAGGGGCGGGGCCAGCCGGGATTCTCCGCTGTCCCAGGTCCTGGAGCGCTCCCGCCGGGCAGGTCTCGCTCCTGCCCAGCAGGCCCCTCCCTGGCTGGCCCGGCCCCAGGGACCGCTCGGCCGGACGCCCCAGGCTGGGCAGCCGCGGTCGAGCCTCGCCCCAGACGCTGCGCTCCAGGCCAGGCGTCCGCGGGGGACCTCCCACGGGTTTAGCGCCGTCCTGACCCCGGGGCTGCGTCCCGGGAGATTCCAAGGGCGAGGACGAGGGTGAGCAGGGTTGCGGGGGGCCTGCAAGTGCAGACGTGTGTGTGTGTGTGTGTGTGTGTGTGTGTGTGCGCGCGCGCGCTTGTGTGTGTGTGCATGTGCATACCAGTGTATGTACAAGTGTGTGGACGTTTGTGCTCACCAGGGGAATTGTGTGCGTGCGGGGAGTTGGGTGGTGTGAGCTCCAGTAAGCTGAGTGTGTGGGCAAAGTTACATGTGTGTGCAAGGGCGGTCCTGTGTGGGAGGTGGGTCATGCGTGTGTCGTGCATGTGCGTGTGTGTATGTGTGACAGAGACATTGCATGTGAAACGTAATGAAGACTGTATGTCAGGGTATCTTGGAAGAAAATGAGAGAGCAGGTGCAATATACTTGGGGCTGTATAGGGGACGTCTGCGGCAAGCTGTGGGGTGTGTAGGTGGGTGGTAAATTGTGAGAGTGTAAGAGTTGCAAACGTGGACTCCGATATAAGTAGCAGTGAGGGGTACTTCTGGGGACCTCAGTGTGAAGGAGTGGGGACCAAGGAAAGTTTGGGAGTACTGATTGCTCTTGGAGGGATGAGTGTGGCCTGGAGCAGTGGGTAATGGGCTAGACAGGTGTTTGGGAGCCCAGAGAAGTTTGGTGATCACATCAGTCCCTGGCTTTGAGGGCTGAGGAGATGTGTGGGTGGAGCCTGAGAGGGGGGTTCTTGCTTCAGGTGGAGGGAGCTGCTGCCTTACCAGTCACCTGTCACCCAGGTTTTGTGCTCACTCCTGCCTGGGTGGCTTCTGTTGGCTCTCCTGCAAGAACATGGTGCAGAAGTACCAGTCTCCTGTCCGCATCTACAAGTACCCATTTGAGCTGGTCATGGCGGTGAGTGACCCCTGATTCTCCAGCCCCTTGTGTGATAAAGAGACACAGGAGGTCAGCTATGCTATAGAATGAGAGGGAGCCCCTCAGACTGACAGATAAGAAGGAATTATTGAGTTATTCTGCTGACCGGGTGATTCCAGCTTCTCACTAGTGACCCCTCCGCCCTGCCATCCCAGCCTTCTCCACACCTTTTGGAATCCTTGTCCACTGACCAAATCACAAGATCTTTCTTTCTTTCTCCCTGCTGAAGCAGACTTCTCTCATCTCAAGCTCCTCTGACAGAAAACAAGGATATCGTGGGCCAAACTACTGCTGCCGTTTTGTGTAATGCTAATACTAGTAATAGTAAATATACTAATGATGATGAGGGTAGCAGCCATTCACTGAGGGTTTCCAGTACCAAGTCTTTACATATGTTGTATCATTATTCTGATTTTACTTCTACTAAACTGTAGCTCGGACAGGTAAAGCGTGGCCCCAAGTTCTGTGGCTGAGAAGAGGTAGAGCCAGGCCTCAGACCCACACAGGGGGGTACTCTGGAGCCATGATTTTTTTTTTTTTTTTTTTTTACCATACCTCCCCCCTCCTTCCTGCCCAGGGTCCTCCCTCAGCTTTCAGACCCCCTCTCCTTTCCTTCAAGGAAGCTGAGAGGGGATGAATGGGCAACAGGGGTCCAGGAAGCCATTTTCAGGGTAGCTTCATACTGACTGTATGTGAGTCAGTTAGCCACTCAGCTGGGGGACTAGAATTGGCTCCCAAGCTCTTAGCCTTCTGGATCAATAGTCTTTGCACCATGGGGCAGGTGCTGGAAACAAGCAGATGTAACTTTCCTTCTCAGGACCATCCCTCTGCCTCTCAAAGGTCCCCTTCCTTTGGGGAAAAAGGGACAGTGCTATGGGGTTGTGTTAGGAGTGAATGATATAATGTGCCCAATGCCGGGCACACAGTAGGCACTCACTAAATGTGGTTGTCCCCGTTATTACACCACACGGTGTTATAAACAATTGTACTGAAAGTGTAAGAAACACTGGAATCTGCCCCTGCATCCCCCTATCCTAGCCTGGTTATTTAATTTCGGCCTTTGATGCAAGAACTTTCCTATCAATTGGTACCTCCAAGGGTATGTGTCCTGACTGGTCTCATTCTACAAATCTACTTATATATGTGTTTATAGTCATATCATGGATTTTAAAACATCATTCATACATGTTCTGCTGTAATGTGCAGATGGTTCCAGGGCAAGAGTCAGGGGCTTGTTTTGACCAGCTGGGTGACCTTGGGCAAATTATTTAACCTCTCTGAGCCTCCATTTCCCATCTCCAAAACGAGGAGTACATGGTTTCCAAATCCCGGCACTGTGCATGGATTAAATGAGTCAATATAGGTAAAGCTCCCAATGCAAGGTCTGGCACAAACCAAATACTGTTACTGTTATTGTTGCTGCTGCCTGTGGCTATGTGACTTTCCCTTATTTGTAACAAGAGTAGGACCCCAGGAGAGGACAGAAATGCTGAGTCTTTGTGGCTGCTCTGCTGTGCTCTGGCTGTGTGCTGTTGAAAAGTCACTGAATTTATCTGAGCCTTGGTTTCTTCATTTGTGAAATGGGGATGGTTATATGCAATTCACAGGGTTGTCATGAGGATTAAAGGTTTTAGATATATAGGTGATAAATATATATATAATATATAATATATATTATAATGTGGAGGGAGTAGGGGGGGTTGGGGGGCAGGTGTCCCATGCAGGTCTTTGTCCATACCAAATAGACAATAAGTGGCAGCTAAATATAAATACTTATCCTATAAAGTTCCAGACAGCTTACTTATTCTAAGACCCTAGCATTCATTCATTCATTCATTCATTCATTCATTCAAAAGAAGAGAGATACAATCCCAACCCATTTGGGACAGTCCACGATCCAGGGACCTATGGTTCTCTACCATAAAGCTGAGACAAATAACCGTAAAATGGAAGGCTAATACTTTTTAAAAAATAATTACATGAGTTTAATAAATGTACATTTAATTTATTTACAATCATTACATTTTAAATAAAACATGTCCACTAAAGGAACACTTAAGACTGTATTAACAGGGCTAGTAAAAGTATTCACATTGAGTTTACTGGAGTATGTTAAGCATATTTTGTAAGCTTCCTGTTCCATAAAGGGATGTAGGACTCTGCTTACTCCCCTAGCTGTTAACAACCCCTAGGTGTTGACGCCTAGAGGCTTGTGGGTACAGTAGGAAATGAAGGTTTTCAGATATCCATTATCTGTATCTGCATTAATTTAAGTTATTTGGGACAGCCATGCCTATGTTTCCTCATCTTCCATACAATCCTTGTTGGTGAAAGGGCCCCAAGCCTCTGGCGATGTTAGCGACAAAGCCACTTTACCGACTGTTTACAAAACATCATTGTCCCCAAAATAGCTGCATAACTCAACATAACTTGCATGCTGTGTGGGCACAAAAGGGTTTTTCTGCACTTAATGTCTGTCTTTGTTTCTCAGCTAAACACTTGCCCTCATTTTGGGTCAGATGCCAGGGAAGTTTCGGATGAACTCAGCTATTTTCACTGCATCCGAGTGACCAGAAGGGCTGGCCTTTGGTTTTTTTATTTAACAAAACTGACTTGAGAATTAAAACATTGCTTGTTTCAGAAGTCCACCAGCAACAAACACAAATGACTAAAACTGGGCTCAAGGAATCCATTATAAAATAGCACTGAGGCAACCTTTCCAGACCCAGATTAAACAGTTAAAAAATTTTTTTTCCTCTTTAATTTCAAAAATGTAACTAATCCACTGAATGGGCATCTCTCTGCTTGGGCCAAATCCCCTGATGGGAATTCTGTTTCTGAAGGGTGGGATTCCAGGGACCTTTGCTTTATTCTTTCTTGATTGTGTTCTGTATTATTTGGTTCAAAACAGTGAGCTCGTATTATCTTGGTAAACAGAGGGAAACAATTAAGACAATGGAGGCAGTTCGTATAAGGTTGGAGAGGGTCTTTGTTCCCTTTGTATGTGGGGTCCCTGAAGGTGGTGGTGGGTCTTTACGCATGGAACACAAAGGCCGCGTCTTGGGCTTCAGACTGTGGTCATTTGAACATCAAAGGTCACTCTCTGGTCAGCCTACAGCCTGTTGTGAATGGATTCTGGGTTCTGGCCTCTTCTCCCACATGGGTGGCTGCTAAGAGTCAGATCCATCAGCTGGGTCTCTGCTCCTGCTTCTCATCTGGAAAATGGAGATAATAAATAAAGGCAGAATTCTGCTCCTCATAGAGTTGAAGTGAGGATTGACTGAAGGGACAGTGGTTCCTGGACAGGGCCTGGCACACTGTTAATGCTGATGAAATATTGTTTAGGTTTATTGTTATTATTTATTGTTTTCATAGCTTTATTGAGCCATAACTCACAGACCCATTTGAGAGGTACAAGTCAGTGGTTTTTAGGATTCATAGAATTGTGTACCCATGACCACTGTCAGTTTTAAAACATTTTCATCGACCCAAAAAGAAACCCTGTACCCATCAGCAATCCTCTTTAGTCCCCACACTCCAGCCTCTGACGACCACTAGTCTAGTTTCTGTCTGTGGATTTGCCTGCTTGAGACATTTTATAGGTGGAATCATAAACACATGGCCCTTTGTGACAGGCTCACTGAGCATCATGTTTTCAAGGCTCATCCATGTTGTATCATATCAGCGTTGGTGGTATAGTGGTGAGCATAGCTGCCTTCCATGTTGTATCATGTCAGTACTTCATCCTTTTTATGGCTGAATATTATTCCATCGCCTGGATAGACCACATTGGTTTATTCATTCATCGTTGTTTCCAGTGTTGGTCTGTTGTGAATAACACCGTTACGAACACAGATGCACAAGTTTTTGTGTAGACGGACGTATTCCTCCAAAGAAATCCCTGACATGAATCATAGTGATTATTGGGTGGGTTTAAGCAAATTTTATTTTTAAAATTTTATCTTTCAAGTGTGTTTACAGTGCTTATGAGGCCCCAGACACTGTTCTGAGCCCATTCAGATATTAAGTCATGTACCTCTCCTAAGCATCCCATGAGATAAGTTCTGTGGGTGGCACCATTCTACAGAGGAAGAAACTGAGGCATGGAAAGGATGAATGGATTACCCAAGGCCACATAGCAAACATGAGGCCAGTGGGGATTTCACTGCAGGCAGTTTAGCTCCAGAATTCACATTCCCAAACATGAGCTTTGCCATTTGTCAGATCTGAGGACCTCAACTTACTGGGATAGATCTGGGTCCAGGGAGCAGTCTCGTGGGGGTGGTTACCACTGAGACTCTGCCCTGGGAATGCCTGTACTCCAACAGCACCCCACAAAGGGGAGCACAGCCAGAACCCACACACCCTAGCCTCCTGGGGGGCGACCAATGCTGACAGAGCCTGGAAGCCGTTACTTGCAAATGCTCTGTGTGCCTAGCCCTGTGATCTGCTCAGAGTCAGCTAGTTTCATAGCAGCCTTAGCTTCCGGGGAAGGGAAAACGAAGGCTTACAGAGGGTAAGGAGACTGTCCCCTGGTCAGTCTATTCATACACCAGGGCTGCGTAACAGAGCACCACAACAGAAATCTAGAGGCCTGACATCCAAGGTCAAGGTGTCAGCAGGACTGTGCGTCCTCTGAAGTTGCTTGGGAGGGATCTGTTCCGGGATTCTCTCCTGGCTTCTGGTAGTTCTTTGGCTTGTGGGAGCATAACTACAAACTTCACCTCACATATTTCCTGGGTAGGTCCCTCTGGGTCCAAATTTCCGTTTCTATAACAGTAAGACACCAGTCATACTGGGTTTATATAAGTACACTTTAGTGACCTCAATTTTAACTTGATTGACCTCTGTAAAGACTCTCTTTCCAAATAAGGTTACATCCTGAGGTACCCGGGCCTAGAACTCCAACCATACCTTTTATAGGGGGACATAATTCAGCCCATTATGCTCAGTAGCTCAGTAAATGGCATCATCAGTAA